GTCCACCTCATGTTTCCTACTGAGGGGTGTTAGACAGAAACTTCCGCGACTGCTGCGTTCGCCGAGCTTATGCCCACTTTTCTGCGACCTCCCCTCCCTTCATAATGCGTCTTCACAGAAAGGAAATTTCTTTGCCCCACCCTGTATATGGGAAGCACACACATACAGATATAAAAATACAAAAGCAAGAAGATAAGATTATGAATTAACAAAGTGCAGGGAGATGCATAAGACATTATCACACCTGCAACTTGCATTATCTACAGTCTCAAGTATGCACATTCTGGGAGACTCAGAAAAGAAACTTATGTGGTGTAGCATAAAGCTTTAAAATTGAGAAATAAATGTGTCTTGTCAAAAGAGGAAAAGGATACTTCCCTATGTATCCTAAAGAAATGTGCTTATACACGTGGAACAAGACAACACTGATATACATTTCTTAAGTCATAGCGGCCTCCGTAGTCTAGAGGTAATGTTCCCACCTCATGACTCATGGTACGCGGGTTCAAATAACCGGTGGAGGTCGTCAAATTTTTAAGGGCGGAAAAATTCAGGGAACGAGTCCTCCAGGAGGGACTTTAAGCTGTGTGTCCCGTGTTGTAACTTTACGGCACGTAAAAGAACCTCATATCCCCAAAGGGGATCACTGAGCCAAATTCCAGGACATTTCCTGCCAAACAATAGCCTCTAAGGCCTCTGATAGATGGAGTAAGCATTATAGACACCGCTGAGCAAAGTGGCCAAACTCACTTGCTCGGTGGGACTGATGGTACGCACCATTTATCGGTAGGGTAAAGAGACTGGTAGAATATCATAGAGGGAAGCACAATAGATCAAACTGGTCGCGGTGCATGGGGAAACCAACCCTCTCTAAATAACTAACTAACTAACTAACTTAAGTCATGCCTTTCCTTCCCTACTCCTTATGGCCTTGACTCACGGCTGGACTAAACAACTCCTGGCCAGTCAAAAGCATGACATTTAGAGCTACTTTGCTAATTTTTAGATGGTGAGAGTGAGTTGAGTAAATTAAATGCACTAATGTCAACTCTTATTAGTCCTTAGCACTTCTGTCATACTTTTTCTTTCCTCTTAGCCCTGACTGAGGTTCTGAACTATATATCAAAGATGTACAGTCCATTAAATTACCCATCCTATCACATTACACCATGTAGAAAAATCTGAACTCACATCTGACTGGAAACAGACATCAGAAACCTCTGATGCTTTATCCCAAGAAAACCAGGTGTCCCATTCATCAGAACATATTAATGGATTGTTAGAGAAAAAGAGGCCTTTGTTTGATCTTCAACAAAACTTACTTTGGTGCCAGTGCCATGAGCCTCGAAATATTCTAGTAAGTGCTTGCTGGCACCACACTCCTGGTAGCATTCATCCAGGAGCAATTTATGCATATCACCAGATGGATGCATGAAGCCATCTTCCTTATACCCATCACTGTTACTCCTGGCGTTCAATACAGTAGCATACACACACTTTGCATCGCGAGCCCTCTGAAGGAAGATCACACATACGGACGGCCTCACTCCGCACAAGACCATTAGCTGTATACATGGCACAAACAACATGAGATTAAATATTTTTCCAAGAACAATTGTGAGACAACTTTTCTACTTATACAGATGACAAACTTGTACTCACCATCCCTGTCAAAGGGGCTACACAAGCCTTCGGGATTTAATAAGCCGAGCTGTGAGAACTGGACAGATATCTGCGGATGGACACAAAGGTTGCAGCTGCCCACAATAGCCAAGTCAACTTCCATCCTGAATGGCCCTATATGCTTGTTCAAATGCATAGGAACTGGATGAGCATGCGGTATCCACTGTATAGCTGGGGCCTGCAATATAATATACAATACATTAAACAGATAAATTATTTTTCTACACTAGTAACCATATCAGTGAATAATACATTCTGAAGGAAGAGTACAGAATACTGGATTATAATGTCATGTACGAGGGGGAACCTAAAAAAACCTGAATTTGTTTATAAAAAATTCTGTATTTATCTTTACATAACAACACTTTAATCCATTTCAAAGTACTCTCCATTTGATTCAATGCACTTGTCCAAACGTTTTTTCCATTGCTCAAACCATATTTTTTAAATTCATTGCTGGTGATGCCTTTCAGTGCTTCTATCATTTTTTCTTCACGCCTTCAACATCAGCAAAACGTTTTCCCTTGAGATCTCTTTTCATCTGAGGAAATAAAAAAAGTCACAGGGGGGTGAGGCAAGGGTGTCATGCCATTTTTGGTCACAAATTGCTGCACACTCAGCACTGTGTGGGCAGGCGTGTTGTCATGATGAAAGAACGATTCACCTCTTTGTCACAAATTGGAACATTTCTCCTTAAACTGTTATGCAACATTCTCAAAACTTTGTCAATCATCCACTGGCTATCTTTCACAATAATTTGATGATTTTTTTCACGTTTTCGTCAGTTCGCGCAGTCAAAGGACATCCACTTCGAGGTTGATCATCAGTTGATATTTCACCACGTTTGAAATGGGAGAACCATTCATAAATTTGTGTTCTACTCATGGTGTCTTCCTTGTAGGCTGTTTGTAGCATAACCATTTCTGCTGCTGTTTTCCCCAAAAGGAAACAAAACTTCACAGCAGCACATTATTCATGTGAATCAGCCATTAAAAAAATAGACGAATTATAAAAAAGTCACTTGGAAAAAATTAACCAAACACTAATGCAAATTTCTCTGACGATGTCAGCCGGCATTTCAGGAAGGTGCTGCAAACAACCACCTAGCGGCGGAAACCTGTACTACAAATGCCCCACTTTCTAGAAACAAATTCCGGTGTTCTTTTGGGTCCCCCTTCATACTTCACAGAAACTAAACGTTTGAGGGAATATACAGACTCCATCTTCTGCGTTGAAGGGTAAGCCAAACAAAAAAGCAACAGAAACAAGTGCCAAGCTGAGCTGAGTTTGCTGCCTCACTACAAACTTTGTAGCCACAAACATGAGAACCAAAAATCCAAGAACTCTTAACAGGATATGATGTTGGTATGTAATAATTAGGGTAATGGGCTTCTGGGGCCTTGTTCTCCATCCAGTATTCCAAACAGAATGCAACATTGTGAAAACTGAATCTGTTTCTGTCCCAGGCAGAAGGCATTAAAGATATTTACATAGTTGGGTCCATCAGAATGAGCTACTCTCAGTCACTGGAAACCTATAACTTTGGATACAGAGCTTATTTAGGTAATAGAGACTTTGTATGCAGGTATTTCATACTGTCTCTCATTTCTATAATTGTATATGGTATGTTGTGATGTGTACACAATTTGTGTATGTAGTTAAGTATTATAGTATTGGTGACTTATATGTAAGAACATCTGGAGGCTATATTGTCAAATATCGATTCCTGGAATAAATAAAGGTATGAATATGAATTGAATCACTCAACTAAACCTACATGAGCATCAAACAACTGGTTTTTCACCAGGTGATAATACAAATATCAGTATATGCAAATGTTAAGGTTTCCTGTCCTGACATTTTGTACACTTGTTAGCAGTCACTGTGAGTTTGTAGTTATGAAAATGACCAGAAAATCATATAATATACTCAGTATTCAAAAGTCATATGTATTATTCACGAGTTAATAACATAAGATGGCAGTTAGTAGCAGTTTTGAACATGAACAGAATAATATAGCAAGAAATTGGAATGTCAGAGATGCCTAAGTCATCTGCGTTATACTAATTTAATGTTTTATTTTTTATTGAGACCTCAGAATCTTTATTTTTAATAAAATGGATTTCAAATCAGGTATTTTTGACAGGTTGTTCTTACATGTAAAGTACACTGCACAAGCATAAAATTGCTTTGTCAACAGATTTTATGCTCAATTTTCCACTTAAACTACAATAGCCTCAATACTAATTTACAACAGAAATTGTAGAGACACAGAAAGAGACCTATAACAAAGACAGAATTCAAAGCCTTTTCTTATATACAAATATCCTTGTGGTTATGTGTTTTACTGTTATATACCAAAGATATACATGCCATGGAATGAAACACTTCATCAAAACTAATGACTTTGCAATATGTTCTAGTAACAAAATGTTCAGTTAGCAGCATGGAAAGAGATGACTATATCTCTAATTGTGGCTGGAAATAAAGATTCTTGTGTAATGTTCTGCCACCAGTCATGAATTTTAAATTCCATAATTAGTTATAGTGTTAGCTAAACTTCAACATCAGTAAACACAAAGTGTCATCTTCCATGCATAGACTACAGTCAGGGTTTCCTTTCTTTTTTAAAACATTACAAGTGGTACTCTGCAGGCAATATATATGTAGGATGGGTGTAGTATATACGTGGTGCAATCCAAAAGTTCCCAAAATATATTAACAAAAACTATTACATCTTACCTAGATCTTATTCTGCACCATCACCTTCAAAGTAGTCCCCTTGGGAGCGCATACACGGATCCCAGCGTTTCTGCAACTTTTCAAATGCATCCTGGAAGTCTTTCTTTGTTAGGGTGTTTAGTACCGTCTGTGTTTCCCCTTGAATTTCCTCAACTGTATCAAATCTTCACCCCTTAAACTTGATTTTCATCTTGGGGAAGAGAAAGAAGTCGCAT